TGTTTGAGGTGCTCAGTGCCCAGTGCCGAGTACAGGGGGATGCTCACTGCCTGGATCCTCCTGACCACACTATTGCTGATCCAAGCCAGGATGCCACTGGCCTTCTTGGACATCTTGGTACACTGCTGGATCATGTTTAGCTGCTGTCAACCAGCATACCCAAGCCCTCTTCCACCAGGCAGCTTTCCAGCCACTCTTCCCATAGCCTGCAGTGCTGCCTGGGATAGTTGTGACCCAAGGGCAGGACCCAGCACTTGGCCTTGTTGAATCTCATACCACTGGCCTCAGCCCATCAATCCAGCCTGTCCAGATCCCTCTGAAGAGCCTTTCTATGCTCCAGCAGATCAACACTCACACACAACTCAGGGTCATTCTCAAACAAATTGAGAGGAAACTTGATCTCCTTGTCAGGATCATCAGTAAAGATTAATTAAACAGGACTGGCTCAAATCCTGAGTCCTGGGGAACACCAATAGCAACTGGCTGCCACTCTCTGTTCCAGTCATCTTCAAGAATTCTTAATATCTTTGCTGGATATCTTAATATCTTTGCTGGAATGTGGCAGGGAATACTTTCCTACCAAGTCTGACACTCTTCTACCAACTATGAAAGAGAAAAGAAGCTGAATAGACACTCCTTTTATTTAGTCTTCACTATCAATTGCATCTCTGCCGTGCCAGCTGCCTTATGGAGAGACAGACCTTGTCCTATATGTGGCCAGCAAATGCTGAATGCCAGAAGCCCAAGCCTCCATTCTGCCCCACTGGGCCACCTGACTGTGATGTTCTGCACAGATGCAACTGGAAAAGCAATAACTAATAGTTTTCAGAACTGCAAGATTCAAATCCATCAGCATTTACACAAATCCTAGAGAGAAAGAGGACATTTCAGGCAACTGATCCAAATATGAACTTCAGTGTCCTTTCTTGATAACAAGGCACATCATCTTCAAGCTTTGGTCAGGACTACATCAAAGGTGTGTACCAGTGAGCATCAGAAGAGGAAAACGGAGGTTTTTCTACACAGATCAGAGAAGAGAATGACACAGAAACATATTGGAGAAAGCAGTAAATTTGAGGGGTTTCCCAGCTCTCTAATCCCTATAAATCATTCAATGACAAGCCCATCTATGGGGAAAATGACACTCTAGTGAAAGATCCTGAGCATGCTGTTTCTCAATCCACTGTCCTTAACTAAGCTAAAAATAGTCAGCTGAACGTCAGACCAGGATGAGTATGATTTATAATATTAACATTTACATAGAACTTTATTGAAACAGATGCTAGGCGTATTTTATTTTGAAAATAAACCTATTAAATTTGAAATTATGATGGTCTACCTGAAAATACAATGTTATAATCTACTAACATCACATATATGAAATGAATTCAAACAATAAATTAAATAAATTCAGACAATATATATTTGTTGAGAAGACTTCTAAGCTTACAGACAGATCTGAAGGAGCCACATTAAGCAGAGGCCCTTGAAATGCCATGCCAACTTTTGACCACAGAAACATGTTCTAAACAACCAAAAAAATCAAGTTCAACAACTTATTAATAAAAGCTGCAAATCAACTGGAAACTGAAAAAGCAGGAAAGCTATTTTCCTCTTTCAGTCTCTAAATAGCAAAAACAAGAACAAAAGGATAAGATACTTTTGTTCTAAAATTCTGAAGGACACAGTGACCAGGAAAGGTCAGTTCTGTTAATAACTGCTGATAATAGTTATTTTGCTTAGTATATCCTAGAATTACAAATGCAAAACATGTTTTGATAAAACCTTTGTTTTCTTATGAAACAATAATTAACAGCATACTGGATATGAATACATTTTAATATAAAATGTTGTTATATTAGAATTTAAATATAATTTTTGACTACATACAGCTTGATACTAATACAGAAAAATAATTAATCTATATCTAGTAAACAGAATATAATTCATTCTTTTCTGAACAAGCATAACAAATAAGCCTCTAAATATATCTTAAGGTATAAAATGCTCAGCTAGAGAAAAAAAGCTGCAAAACAGGTATTTCTTTACTAATGAATATATTGTACCTTATAACAGAAACTTACATTTTAGGGAGAAAGTTTAAAGTTACCAACACACAAAACTAGATTTACTTTATCTTTACATATGAGTAATTTATCTTTACATAGGGGTCATTTATTTTAACTACACGATTGTATCTAACTTGATAATGCTCACTGAAAGAAAGGCCAGGTCATCACTATCATTAGAAATACATGTTGGTGATACAGAAGAATGTAGCTTTATAGCAGCAATGTCGTTCCCTGTTCTTTTATTGAGAAAGAAAAACCAGACAAGTTATGGTTTAAACAGGCTTCATGTACAGGTCTGGTCTTGAAGTCTTCTTCTTAGGCTCGGTGTTTGAATTACTATGAAGTCTATTTGGGCTACAGGAATCTACTTTGAGAGATGATTTTCTATCAGACATTTTCAGTTAGTAAGATATTATTAGACAGGATGGTTGCCCTCATGCCCCTTTGCATTAGTGGAGAACAAGGTGGCTCTGCTGTGGCAAGCAACTAGGTGAGCAAAATGGATGGGCAGTGCAGGAGGATTCAAAAAAAAAAAAATCAGAAGCAAGATTTTCTGTACTGCTCCAGAGCATTACTTCACCTTCACCAGTCCTGCCTCTTAAACTAAGACTGGAACTAGATGTTCTGGAATAAATCACACATCTGCTTAAATAACATTAACAAAATGTGTTTTAGAAAGAAAATAGAAACTTTCCTGGACTGTTCAAGGAATCAGTTACAGCCCCAAAATGAAGGATATAATTATAATCCCTGTCCTACTGCAGTGCTGCAAGTGTTAGAAGAACACAAAGGACAGTGTAGGTAATTCTGTGCTCCCACAGACATAAGAAGGGAACAAAAGAAGCACAAAACTTCACTTTTATACTTTCTTATCACTCAACACATAATACATCACTGGTTTCCATTCCCTTTGGTTATTTTTTTATATTCTCTTTTGAAGGTTCTCAGGTATTTCTTACCCTTCCTCAAGTGTGGAATGGTCAGAGAAAAACTTACAGAAATGAGCTACAATCTCTACTGCATTAATGCAGTGAATGTATACATGAACAGCTAACCTCCCCATATTCCTTACCACCTTTCACCGCTGTATGTTAAACACCTCAGGTATGTTCTTACAGGGACACAGGATCACTATGAGGCACACACCTGCTATTCCTATTTACTGTACACTGAAGCAGAACACTAGCCCTTTTCTTTTCCCTAACAGAGGACAGATGAAGTTATCTAAAATATTCTTTACATTACTACTTTTAAAGACTTTTTTTGTCCTGTTGAGCGTCCTCTGTATTCCTTGATCCCAAATATGTTTGTCTTGGTGTTGACCTGCATAAGACATTTGTCACATTACCCTGCTACTTCAGATCAACTCATAGAAGTTATATATCCTGCTTTTCTCTTGTTTACTAGTTATATAAAGTTTACTAACAATACTTTTGTATCCCAGTCGAAACTGCCAGCCAAAGCACAGCACAGAGGTGTGAAATCAGGCTCCAGAAGACCTACTGAACAAAATTACATTTTGACATCTCCCCTAGTATGGCATTTTTTAATTGAAAATGTTCCCTATAAGCACCAAATAATGTGAAAATTCACCAGGTTTACATGATTATTACAGAAAAATCAAGATCTTTGTCCAATGTCCAATGCTGCAATCTCTATGATATAAATCTAAAACTTCTTTCTCCTTGTTTTTATCCCTTTTGAGAACTGTTCTGTAACTCAGAAGCCTCTATCTGACAGAAGAATCTGAACTGACTATTCTGTTCTTCTGCACAACACCTGAATCTTCCTTCAAGTATGAAAACATGCTCTTACCCAATCAGTGTTTTAATTCACAGGTAGAGTCTAAAAGTTGGATTTCATCTATTTTAGACAATCATAGAATCATTTTGGTTCAAAATACCTCAAGCCCAACTGTTAACCCAAGACTGCCAACTCCGCCACTAAACCATGTCCCGAAAGTGCCACATCTACACGTCTTTTAAGTACCTCCAGGGACCATGGCTCCACCACTCCCCAAGGGCAACCTGTTTCAACGCTTGACAACTCCTTCTGTGAAGAAAGTTTTCCTAACATCTGATCTAAAACTCTTCTGGTGTAATTTGAGGTAATTTTTTCTTGTCCTATTTCTTGTTAACTGGGAGAAGAGAGCAACCCCCACCTGGTTACATCTCGTTTTAGGTACTTGTAGAGAACGATAAGGTCCCCCCTGAGCCTCCTTTTCTCCAGGCTAAACACCTCCAGCTCCCTCAGATGGTCCTCACCAGATTTGTGCTCCAGACCCTCCACCTCCAAAAGACAAATCACACAGTCCATTACAGGAGAGAAGCTAAGTGACACTTCTCCGCTTTGAGCATGGGTATGTGAGGATGATACTCGTGATGGACACAAACACAACATAAAAATATTTTTTATCAGTAGGCAGAAACTGCAAGCATTGAAGAAACACAGGGCCAGTGCATTAAAATCTTATACATCACTTCGAGAAAATTTGACTTAATAGAAAAGATTTAAGCAGAGAGCAATTAGGAAAGAGCTTTTACTGCCTTTGTGACTGCATATGCTGCAAACATTTTGAAAACTGACTCAACCATGAGACACACGAAGAAAACCACTGCCAAGCATCTGTATCCCATTCTTTCCAAAATGAGGTGAAGGCAATGAGCTAAACGGGGAATTTCAATTCTTACTGTCTCATGGACCTGAAAGAAAGAAACTGAAAGGAGCTTCTTGGCCCGGATAGATGCAAAAGCACGCCCTGCCCCAAGTCTGGGGTGAACAGCTGGAGAGACAGGAACGCAAGCATGCATCGCCACTGTTAGAGATCCACGCGAGTAACAGTCCGGGGAAGAGCTTCACACTCATCAAGACTTCGTGTTAACAGAAATGAGCAGAGGGACCTCTGCTGAAAACATCCTTTCCACTTACCTCACCTGCAGAACGGGCGTTTGGTTTAGCAGGCGCCTCTGCCCCTCCGAGAACGCGAATGGGCGTACAAAATAGGAAGTTGCCCGGCTCAGCCCAAGTAACGCTTTTTCCTGTAATTCTGAAGGCCAGAAACGTCCGCCCTCGCCGCCAGGACTCGCGGGGAGCGGTGCCGGACTCCGCACGGCGCTGGGCTCCGCCGTCAGCGAGGTCTGCGGCGGGGGGGATGCTCTGCCTTCCCCGGCGGCCGGAGCCCCCCGACAGGCACCGGCCGCGCTGAGCGACGGCCGCGGGGACCGCATGGACCGAGGGGCACCGCCCACGCCGCTCTCCGCCCCGCCGGACCCCGCACAGCAGCTCCGCCCGTCCCGCGGACACCCCACACCGCCCCATCTCCGCGGGGCGGGGACGGCGCGGGGACCCGGCCCCCCGTGGCACAAACCTCACAGCCCTCTCGAAGGGCAGCGAGCAGCCGGCTGTGCGGTGATGTGTGCAGCATTTTGGTGCCGGTGAATCAATTCAGCTGCGCGTTCAAATGGCACAAACACGCACAGCGAGACAAGCGTATCGAATAATAGTCACCAACTAAGAGCACTCACGAGTAGGTACCTTACGAAACATTTAGGACATCAGCACTGTGAGAGGAACAACTCAAGTGATAATTCCTTTTAAAGCTAACAAATGTATTCCGACTAATGACTTGCAAGAAGAATGCCGCCATCAGCAACACAAAAAGGAATAGCAGGATTGAAAATCAGAAAGAACCTTGCAATTAAAATAGATACGGTGAAATCAGTAAATGGAAAGCCGAAGTCCATAGTAATGTTCATCCTATTAAGCAGACAGTCTTTGCTAATCAGACACTCTCCAAGAACAGCTATTGCATTTTAATAATTCAGTCAATATGGATGTCATCAAGAGGTCTTAGCCCCAATTCAGGAAGAGATCCATTACAGACAACAAATGTGTTTGTCCTACACTAGTGTCACTAAGTAAGAAAAACTGTACACTGACTCATTCTAACTTCCATCACTTGTTCGGATCAGGTTTGTTTAGCCTTCTTTCCCCCACAGCAGTTATTTTAACACATGAGCTCAACGCCCATTCCAACTTTCAGAGCACCCACAAGCCTTCACTCTCTTTATCTAATCATCAGATTCAGCCCATTGATTTCCTTTTTACGTTTGAATAATGTTGCCATCTCCCCATTATCCATAACCTCAGTGTAAGGCTACCCTCTAAACTGTTTTACTGTTTCTAAATTCTCTTTGATATTTAGATACATTAGCATTATAGTGATATTTTGAAAACTTGCGTTTATTTTATTAGCAGGTAACAGATAGAACAGAAATGTGATTCAGCAGAAACAGACCCAAAGTGTAATCTAAACGCTCCTTGACATATCAGATATGTTTTCCTAATGAGCACAAAAGAAAGGGCAGGACTAGACCCTTAATTAATTCTAATTGAATGGAAATTAACTTCTAGACTTGGTCTGATTAGTTGCTAGTACTCAGAGATTAAAACATTGTTTTTATTGACTCACTGAAAGATGACTGCTCAGCCTTTCAAAGTGATGAAAAGTTGCACCAGACCTACTAGATTAGTTAAACACATGCTTAACTTTTAAAAACCTTGAGTCATTCTTCTGTCTCCAGGACTGCTTATATGCTTTAAGCGACCATAGTCTTAAATGTTTGGGTGGGGACTGGGCAGTAGCACTTAGGAGATTCCAGGATGCAGAGGGCACTTAGTGATACTGTCAGTAACTGTTTCAGCTACCGCAATTGGTAACAATTTAATAGCGGAGAAAAAAAACATCTTACCCAAAAAAGGTGACGTGATTTACCAAAAGTGATTCGAAACAGAAGACAGTAAACCTTTAGAGTACAATAGAAATCATGCCAGAAGTGTGTTTTCATATCCACACTTAGAGATGCTTTTATCTACTTTGCACATGAATGTTTTAAAAGAAATAACTCTTCTTCCTGAAAGTGGGAGCAAAGTTGAGCTGCTGTTCCTGAAACATGTGGCAGGAAGTGTTTTCAACAGGAAGACTTCCAGTTTTCATTGCCTGTGTTCTTTTGGTTGGTGATTCAGAAGTGGCTGCTCCAGGGACTAGTTGATCCCAGATGGTACCCCTTCTTAAAGGGAGGCATTTGCACTGTCCCTTCTGTCAGGGACAGGACACTGCAGAACTACTGCTAAAAATCTGACCCTCGTAAATTAATTTACCTGTGGTAGCTCAGTTTTGAAAAGTATTTAACTTCTGTGCGACCACATCCTATGATCTTACTGACCACGGTATAATTACAGTGAGTCTGTACGAATTAACACACTGGCACAGAACAGTGAATTACGTAGTTAAGTGGAAAAATGAGGTCCATTTTCACTGCCAGTCTGGAAAAAGACCTTGCAGCATTTAAATATGTAGTCATAATGAAAGCAGATTGGATGAAAAGTATGTACAGAAATGTACCTTGAGAAGTTACAAAGCTGGTTTTAATCAAGTAACTTGTAAGGCTGATTTCTTCCTGGGTCATTGACCTGAACCACCACCTGACCGCTTCACTTCTCCCAGTGTAAAGAGGAGGGCACTGGATGCTGATTTCCATGGACTTAAACCATTGCAGAATACAAGTAAAAATCATGAGTGCCCTCCTATTCCTTAGTGATGTCATTTGTGGGAAGAAAAATCCAGTGAAAATAACAAGATTCTGAAATCAATTTCTGAGTATACATAACTGGTTTTCAGTAAATAGTCACCAGAAGTACTCTAGACTCAACCTCCATGCAAGGCTGCTCTTAAGGGGTGAAGAATTAATATGTAGCTCTTAGATTTCACTTGAGTATAACATAAAAATTCAATAGCAGCAGTACCCTCAAAACCACCCTTTTAACTTACTAACTTATGACTACATCTTTCATTTAAATGCAATACATTCTCCAAGCTAATGACTCCCATATCAATGAAGAAGCAACAATATCGGGTATGATGATCCACCCTTGAGGGGAAGGAAACCCCTAAGATTTGTTAATGCTTATTCATCAAAATGAACAAAAAAAGTCAGAGGGTCTGCAAACAATCAGTGTTTTATTAGTAAATTATACATTTCACATGGAAATTGGTATGTTAGTCCCTGATCCACTATATAAGCACACAGCAGTGGGATCTGGATGAAATGGTGGGGTGAAAAGGGAGAGAGGAATTAGAGAGCGAGAAATGAATTAAAGAATGAAAGAGAGAAAGTAAGAGAAAAAGAGAGACAGAGTGCACCACCACAATCCATCCTGTGACTCAAATCAGCTTCTGTGGGCCTCTACAACAGGCAACAACTGTATGACTCTAATTTGACATAGTTTTAGAGGCAGATCTACAAACTATTCAAACCTAACAAAAGGAGTAGGAAATGTGCCAATTCCTATGCTGTGCAGTGTGCAACATTTAATATACACAGAAAGGTTTTAATGCCTAAGTGTAATTATTTGTGAATCTTCTTAATCTCTGCTCTAGAGAAGACTTATTCCTCAAGAAAAGAATCAGGTATTTTGCAAAAAAATGCCACAAAGCCTTTGTCAATTTCAGAATAGAGAACTACACAATACTTCCTTTTGGTCACATCTTCATTCACATCATTGCAACACTGCAACAACAGCTGTATTGCAACTCTGCTGGCAAAGAAGCAACTCTATTCCCAGAGTGATGGCTTTGCTGGTTTATTACAGAAATTTTTTACATGTTTTCATTCTATGGTAATTGAAGCTTCCCAAGCCTTTTACTACGATTGCAAAAGCAGAGAAACATAATTAAACCCATTTGTACAAACAGGGTAAAGGAATTACTGAAAATTCTGAGTGGCTTTAATAGCACGACTACAAGGTGCCATTTCTTGTAATTTTCCACCCCAAAACCACAATGAGCAGACTCTGTATGACAACTACAACCAGCATTATTTACTCCTGACAGACAGTCACTACACAGGAAGAGTTGCAGCAGTTTGTAGTAACTTACAATGAAGCAAGATTCTTACAAACATACACTTTAACAAAGACCCCCTCAAAAAAGGAAAAGGCTATGTAGATGAAAACAGCTTATCATGCATATACTCCTCTCTTCCTACACACAACCCATTCTTCTTTAAAATGATTCATATAATTTCTGGAGACAGCATCTTTCAAAGGTGATACACCCAACATCATGGTATATCTCCAAATTAAAGGGTAGGAAGTACAACATCACATAGATCATACAATCATAAAATCATTATGGCTAGAAAGGACCTTCAAGATTATCAAGTCTAAGCGTTGACCAAACACCTACTACTGTCCACTAAACCATATAACCAAGTGCCATGTCAACTCATTTTTTGAACAATCCCAGGGATGGTGACTTCACCACCCCACTGGACAGCCCATTACAATGCTTAACAATGCTTTCTGCAAAGAAATTCTTCCTGATATGCAGTCTGAACCTCCCCAGCACAGCTTGAGGCCATTTCCTCTTGTCCTGTTGCTGTTTACCTGGGAGAAAAGGTGGACCCCACCTTGCTACAGTCTCCCTTCAGGTCACTCCTGAGCCTTCTTTTCTTCAGGCTAAACAGCCCCAGCTCCCTCAGCTGCTCCTCACAGGACTTGTGCTCCAGACCCTTCACCACCTCCACTGCCCTTCCCTGGACTCATTCCAGCACCCCAGTGTCTTTCTCGGAGAGAGGCGCCCAAAACTGAACACAGGATTTGAGGTGTGCCCTTACCAGTGCCAAGTACAGAGGGATGATCACTGCCCTCACTGACCTGGTCCTCCTGGCCACACTATTGCTGATCTAAGCCAGGATGCCATTGGCCTTCTTGCCCACCTGGGTACACTGCTGGATCATGTTCAGCCAGTGTTGACCAGCACTACCAGATCCTTTTCCACCAGGCAGCTTTCCAGCCACTCTGCCCCCAGTCTGTAGTGCTGCCTGGGGTTGTTGTGACATAAGTCACAACATAAGGACCTGGGACTTGGCCTTGTTGAATCTCATACCACTGGCCTCAGGCCACCAATCCAACCAGTCCAGATCCCTCTGCAGAACTTTCCTACCCTAAAGCAGATCAAGACTCCTACCCAACTTGGAGTCATCTGCAAATTTATCAGATTGTCAACAAAGATATTGAACAGGACTGGACCCAGTACTGAGCCCTGGAGAACACCACAGTGACCAGCTGGATGTAACTCCATTTACCATCACTCTCTGATCCCAGACATCCAGACAGTTCTTAAGTCAATGAAGAATGCACCTGTCCAAGTCATGGGCTATCAGCTTTTCTAGGAGTAGCCTGTGAGAAACAGTGTCAAAGGCTTTAGTTAGAGTCCAGGTAGACGACATCCACAGCATAAAATTAAAAACACTAAGTATTTGTATTTCAAGCACTACTGAACTATTGTCCAGAATTGTCCAGAAATCAAGTCGCACTTGATTTCAAAATTTTCCTTAAGCCATTTAGAAAAAATAGAAAGATCAAATAAACTTGAAGAGAATGTTCTTAAACATAAGTCTCCCACGTCCTTGGCCCACACTCCACAGGCATATGATTTCTTCTACTACTGCTTCTTGGCTACTGCAGCTAAGAGCTAATCATACCATAAAACCCTCAAATAACAGTGGATTTATAAAAAAAAGTCATTGCCAAAGACTGAAACTACACACAGTCATAGTCACAAAAAAAGCAAAATCTGCAATGACAGAATAGACAGAACTAAATAGAACCAATTTGACAATTCCTGAAGTACAGGACAAGGTACAGACATCCATATGTGACCAAGAGCCACCCATTTATGGTGTTACTGAAGACAAAGTTGTGACCAATGTCACAATATCCCCCTCTTGTGTCATCAGGGAATTCCCTGGAACTGCTACACAGCATGCTCAAATTACTCAATTGGCTAAAACCCCCACTTATTATGATCTGACACTGGAGTACAGTTTTTCTGTACTTCAAAAGTTTTACAGTTTATCTTAAACCAAAGAAGAATACGGAGTCTGCATAAAGCCAACTGATACATTGACAATATTCAGCAAGCTTGCTTTCTGCTCCCAGCCCTAAAAACTGAGGTCAGTGAGTAGAAACAGGTCCATTCTCTCTAGCATTTTTAAAGCTAATTTGTAGGAGAATGCAAATTCCAGCAAGTATTACCAACAATGAAAAAGACATTTTCAGAATAGATTATGTCTTCTGCTTTCCTACCTGCCAAAACCCAGTGAAGGACTTAAATCAAACTGCTGTTAGTTTGAGGGTATTCTATTTGATCTTCCTGTTGTTCATGACTCTTGTTTACATCCTTCAACTCTTACGGCCATAATCATTGAGTTGAGAGATGTAACCCTTAATCATCAAATTTAAGTATGCTGTCAGAATTCTGACTGCTTTACACAGCTACCACCTGCAGATTTGTTAGAACTATTCTGTAGCCCACTAATAGCTGCAGATCAAAGGCTGTAAACCTCTACTTTACATTTTTCTTTAGTGACAAGAATTGGACATAATTTTACTCAAACAGCATCAAAAACAAAAGACTGTCAATGTTGCTTTTTATGTCCCGTAAGTATAAAATTTAACTTGAAAAAAATTCCCACTACTGTTATCTGCTCTCCCTTATAAATCATTTGCTCGATGCACTACTATCTCAATTCATCTTGAAGCTTAATGATTTACGATCAAACCCTCAATTCAGCAGACTCTTCCCCAGCTGCCTTCACTCTTATCACTTTAAATAGCAGTGATCATAGGAAGTCCTCCGTCCAACTTCTTGCTCAAAGCATCAGTGAGGAGACTGGAATATGTGGCTCAAGGCTTTATCCTGTCTGGTCTGGAAAACTATGAAGGACGGTGTTCTGCACTGGAAGTGCTGGTCCATTATGACCTTAGCAGGAAAGGCTTTCCAGGCTCTTCTCTAAGGTATTATTTTAAATTCCATTAGGAGCTCCTCATTTGTCCACACTGCCTTGCACAAGACCTGTTTCTTCATGTCTGCCCAGATCACTCTGGATGAGAGCCCTGTTCTTGAATGCTTCTGCTGATCATCCCCCAGCACAGTGTTTCTTACCAGCCAACTTGAGAAGCAAGTGCCCCCTCGCTTGCTTTCTGATCCTGATGCACACTGGGGTGTTTTTTTTCTTAGCTGTTTAGAAGTAGCAGTTCAGTCATTCTATGACATGCTGTTATTCCCATCCACTTCTCAACTTAATTTTTACCTGATGTCACAGAATATGAATCATGGAATGCCTGAGATTGAATGGGAACTCTGGAGGTCATCTTGCCCAACTTAAGCCTGAAACTTAAAAACTTGAATTTCCTTTATTTTTACTCATGAACAGTGTTCAGTTCTTTGTGCAATTTCTTGACTTTCTCTGAACTAATACACTAGTAATTTACCTGTAGGAACTTAGCTGCCTCAGAGTATTTGAACCACGATCATTACTTCCAAAGAGATTGTGCTCATTTTCTTCTAAGATACCATACCTGACTGACTTTGTAAATCTGTATCCAGGTTACTAAAACAGGTGTTTTGACCAGGATCTAAAATCAAAACAGTGTCAGAAGTCACGTCTACAGACTGTCCTTTCTTTTCACCCTATGGTAGTTTGACCTTGGCAGGATGTCAGGTGTTGTACCAAGCCACTGTACTGCTCCCTCTTCGAAGCAGGAAGGGGGAGCAACAATAAAATGGGAAACTACTCAAGGATTGAGATAAGGGAGTTTACTAAGTCAAAAGTGAAAGGCTGCATGCACACAAAGGAAGAAAAAAACCCAGAGACTTTACCTACTTCCCATCAGCAAGCCATGTCCAGACACTTTTCCAGGGAAGCAGGGCTTCAGCATATGCAGTGGTTGCTCTGGAAGGCAAGCATTCTAAGTAGCAAATACCCTCCTTCCTCCTACTTTTCTGTGTGAGCACTGCTCAGCAGCTGCCAAAACACAGCTGTGTCACCCAGACCTTTCTAATACCAATACAAAGCACAGCTTTGTGCACCCCTTCACAGGGCTAAAGGGAAAACAAACTCCAACTCATCCAGATGCAACAGACACCCTGACTGCACTCCTCTCAAACCATGATGAGAAACTCAACTTGTGAGGAAAAGTTCAGGTACTGCATTAAGTGCATTACTACTGTAATGCGACAGAAAAAGAAAAAGCAGCATTTTAAATATTGTTCAATGAAAGAAGGTTTGAAGGAATTTCTCAACACTAGCTTGTTAAGAACCTTCACTTTAATCTTGAACTAAGTTGCAAAACAGACAGCAATTTTTATACAAACATGGAAGTAAAGATCAGAAAAACATCCAAGGACCTGAGTTTAGCACAACTATAGGCAGTAGAATTATCTAACCGAAATTACAGGTATGTGGTACATTGTCATCTCAGCATTTTCTCTCCAGCGGAGAATCACATTGAAATATCTTCCCACAGATTAAATATGTATTTAAAGAATCACAAGGCTTAAAGCAAAACTGAATGTTCAAGAAGGAACTGCATTTTTCTTCAAGTACTTCAACTCTTCAAGGTTTTAATTTTCCTTTATTCTGTAAAGTGGTTAAGAACAATAGGAACAACAGGGTCAGAACAGTTCTTTTACAGAAAAAGAGACAGAATTCCTTCTGTTGCCTGACCCCAACTCAGCAAATCGTAAAATGGGAGACAAAGCAAAAAGCACCCACTGATCTAAGTGGTCCTTTAAAAAATGCTAAACCAAGTTCCCTTCACAGGTTTATTCTAAGTTTTGGTCCATGACTCTGTCCTCTGACTTCTTTTCACAGAAACGGAAGGCTTTATCAACTCACAGTTTCCTCCAACAATTACAGTTTACTCTCATTTACTGCAGTCAGCAACCAAAAGCACCCTCAATTTCTCACCTAAAATTCAGAATGGATGTAAAAATCTTCAAGGAGACTTCTCAGGAAAAGGAGTCATGCTGCCCAGGCTATTTACTCTGAATTACAGACTTCAGGCCTAAATACATCCACTGCACGTGAGTTGCAATTTATTATCCTTTCCGCTCACTTCCAAATACACAATTAGCACTTATTTTACTATTTTCCCACATTATATAGCAGTAAAACTACAGTCTACAAAAATAACACTATTTTTATAAATGGATATTTAAGTAAATAGTTTTGATGACAGTGACAGCATGCTTTTCCACAATGACAGATTCCATAGTACCGCCCAGTCAAACTTAGGCATTAAACCTTCAGTCCTGTAAGCAGAGCTTAAAATTATTATTTCCCTGGATTAAGCGGGAAGACTGTATAAGAAATAGTGCTCAGCACTGTGTGTGAAATACCAAAGGACTTAAGAAGCTTGTAAACTTGTTTAGCTGTGCGAGATATTACCAAATATCTTTGCCATTTTCCTTTGGAACACAATGATATGCATCTTTGTAGCATACTGCATTGATAAAGAAAAAAAAAATTAAAAGGAAAAGCAACTTTAAAGAAATCTCCTTAAACTGTTAATGACTGCTTACCCTCTATAGGTTCTACAAGCCAGGGAAACCTCTCAGACCTAAGTCACCAGGCTTGTTCTAAAGCAAACTTTTCCACAAGAGACGGCAGAAGTGTATTTCTCTGTCAAAGGTAAAAACATTCTACTAGAAACAAACAGGGCTCCATCATTCTCTGATGACAGCTCTGAAAACACGTATTTCCACTAAGTTGTGGGTGTAGCCCCTGACCTTTAGTTCCATATGGAGATGCAAATGTTCCACCCATGTCAAAATAATACCAGTTCATGAAAGTGCAATATGTGTTTTTTTGTAATATCTGATACAGAGGCTACATTCAAACTGAACTCCTCAAATTTCTATTAAGCAATTGCTTAAGAGGTGTTCAACAGATCCCTGAGTCATCCCAACACAAAATTCAAACTTTTTAACTGACATGTTACAAAAAAAGGACAAAGTGAACCCTTATATAAAGCACTTTCCCAAACTAGGTCTTCACAAGACTATCTTCCTATGCAACATTTCGTTTACAGTACAACAGAATATAAACCAGTTTGGGATAAAGTAGTTTTAATCCCATGACTCAGCTTCACTTGTAGAGTACTCCATCTTCATTTCTCCTGGGTTCATGTTGCCTCTACCTCTGTTATTCTAGGAAATAGAACAGGTCCTAGTTTAGAATCATTACCAATTATTTAATGGTAAAAGTCACTGCAAAACAATTTCAGCTTTCTGCGTACATGCCTCAATGTATCTGAACACTGTTTTTAAATACAGTTTTTATCATGCACCTTCTGTACACAAGGTTTTTGGACCCCATTGTGAAATTAACGCAGTTTAATCAACCTCAGATTTCATCAGGTGTGGTAGTAACAATAAAGTTCACATCCCAACATCTTTTCTTACCCAAAATAAATCAGTTCATACAACTGCGGGGAAAAAAATTACTTCTCAATTTCTTATATAAAAATGACTGTATGCATTACTCTCCCAGCAAATTTTTTTTTGTTGTTTTTTTTTTTTTTTAATGAAGTCCAATCATCTACGAGATTATCCCAAAAGAATCAGATAAGATCCTCCAACAGATCCTGCTTTCATATTCATCATTTGATTATCAAATGGCCCTTCCACACATTCCCTTTGCAAGTAATTATTATAAAAAGATAAATATTACCTTTCTCCAAAAGAAAGGGCATCAGGATCCTTACTGAACATTAAGTAAGATTTTCTTTTATTAAAAGTAAAGCAGTAAACCCCAGCTTTAATAATTCATTTGAAAGAAAAAAATAAGGCTGGTTAAAAATGCACAGTTTCTGTCAGACTGACATCAGAAAGTCTCAAAAGAATTAGAACCTCATGATCTCCAACACGGTGCACCACGTGATATAAAGGACAGTATTCCCAACATAGGCAGAGAGATTTCACCTGAAAATATTGTATTCACACATACCCATGGACAACAGTCAGATTTGGTAACTCAGGTTATAAAGGACATATAAAGGACTTGGACCTAGAAAATCACAGATTCATGAAACGCTGGGAGACGTTACACAAAGGCTGGAGACATGTATTTGGAAGAATCCAGTGAGATCTATTTTTGAAAGCAATCTATAAAAATGAAAAAAGTGTCCTTGAAAAGGAATAAACAGGAAAGATCCGCTAAGGCTGCAAATGTGAGAAGGAAGCAAAGTTTATGTAACTGAGACCCCATAAAGACCCAAGAAAAATTATTCAGATCTGATCAGGGAACCAGCCAGTATAGAATTTAAATCCTAAAATACTCATTGCAGAGTGATTTGAGAGCTATGCCATAGAGGCCTTCTCCTTTATTCGAGCTGTATTTTAACATCTGGTGTCAGCAACACCAAGGGACTAGAAGGCTTCTCCTCATCACAGATATTAACAATTTTGGTGTGGACCAGATTGGGGCATTTATTTAACTGTAAATAATTGAAGATTTTTGTCAAGGAGTTACCTGACTCATAGCAAGCAGTAACTGTATGATCAGCAACTATCTGCTCCCACTTTACATGTGCAGTAGAAAAATTTCTGGAACTATAGCCTTGGCATATGTTTGCATAAACCTTTCTTCCACAGACTAACTCTGGACACTACAGATCAAGAGTAAGGCAGTTAGTACCGGACCACACCGTAAGAGTCCAAGTCAAGCAAGTTGTTTAAAATTAGTTTCACTAATTCTCTGGAATTCTTTGAAGATGCACATGAAAAGCGATGAAGTTACAGTCAAAACAGTTTCAGTGGCCTTACTCAGGATATATACTGCTAAACACATTTTTTCCCTAAGACGAAGTTCTAAAAGCCAAGACTTCCAGTTCATTTCTACACTTACCTTTTGGATATTAACTGAGAGTCTTCCTCTTTCAGACTCAAAAGCAACTTCTGTCAACCAAAGAGGAACTTCCTGCTGGGCCTACATAATCAGGAAAGACAATTTAGAGACTTTGACCGCTTTACCAATTCAGGAGTTCCCTAGCTGTTCCAAAGACCTAACAGTTGCTCAGCACATTAAAGTAAAATCCCAAAGAGCAGACAAAGTTAAGCAGTAAGATCTGAAACTTACGTCTGAAAGCACTTTAATTAGAGACTGCGCAAGATGGCCATCCGAATCATTATCAAAGAAGCAAATTGCTTTTCCTGTATTTCCACAACGGCCAGTTCGTCCAATTCTGTGTACATACTCCTCAATTGTGGAAGGAAGATCAAAATTAATTACATGCTGAACGCTTTCGATGTCCAGACCTCTTGCTGCCACTGAAGTTGCCACAAGAACTGGACATTTTCCAGAACGAAAATCCTGAAGAGCTATTTCTCTCTCTCTCTGCTCTCTATCTCTACAAAGAAAGCAACGGTTAGATGGATGTCTCAAAAGATCTACAGTATTATTTAAGATATACTTTAAATGTCATGATTCATGGATAGAAGTAATCCTTGTAGGGGACAACGGACACAAACCCAAAAAACCCCTGAACAACCCACATATACTACCAATTTAGGTTTTCTGAATTTTTAACTGATTAACGACTGCTTTAACATAAGTCTCTGCATACACTGAAGTTTTTTTAAAGTACCAGACATAACTGTACATCAAACTGCCTCCCTAAGAAGATTCACTTATTTAATTGGTTGTTCTTCATGCCATAGTTAGAAGTCCTTCTCCTATAGTTTTGTAGTAGGGAGTCAGAGTAATGAAGATGAAGTCTACCTTGACTCTTAGACTCCTGCATAGGCCATTTTTCAGATATACTAAAAAATGTGGCCAGCCAACAGTACAGAACTTGTCTTCTGTTTATCATCATGCCAAGAAAACTATATTTGCTCTGGGGTTTGCAAGTTTAAAGAGTATTTACAGATCATCCAGTACTTAACTACTGTGGATCAGAGTTTCACTGACATTCTTTGTTGTCTAAATGAGAAAACAAGTAAGAAAGCTAAATAGTGCTCTTTGGGATCTTAACATGGGATTTTTAGTGGTCTGGTATGACCGCTATTCCAGAGAAGAGTAACTATCCTAACTTCAACTCAAAAGGGTAAAGTGAATCAGAAACCAGTAACATTCATGACACTTCCACTGAACGCCTTATTCAGGTGTCTTTAATTCACAGTGCAGTGTTTCTACAGAAATGTGTTAACAACCTCCTGTCACACAAGGGACTTGTGGGAGAGCAATTCAGACTAGCCAAGACCTCCTCAAAATGACTTTCACACATCTATACCTCTGACAGGCCACAGGGTACACACAAACATCTTGTATCTGTGTAATAAGACCATATGAACCCCTCTAGAACCTTGATGTTCTGACGTCTGTCAGAACACTGCCTACAACAATTTTTATTGGCAAGAATTCAAGTCCCTTCCTCCTAATACAAAACCCACAACAGAATTACATTTTCAATGTGCTACAGTCCACTAAGATTAAAAAAACATCACAAAACTTCATTCTAGCTCCTGATGTGAAAAACACATCATCTTAGATGTGTTTTTACCTGGAATCAGAACCTACTTCATTTTGTTTCTCAGCGTCTGTTCAGGTATGCAAAACTAATGAGTGGACTATTAACACAAGCTAGAAGCATCTTTTCTTTAAATCTATCTCCATATAAATGTTACGTCTGTGAACACATCATAGAGACAGAAATGACAGCATCAGAAGTCTGTATGGCATGTGACTTATCATTCTGAGGAAGCCTGTAAGACAGAGTGAAAGGTCCACAACTGCCACTCGCATTTATGAACATCATCTCACCAGTAACAGCACAAGTTCTGATTTTGGTCACAGAAATTACAGCAAAAACTACACATGAACTACAGCTGATTCTACAGAATTTATTATATACTAATTTTCTATGCATTAGGCATAAGATTCTCCAGTTCAGACACAGTGTTTTACATGTGGTCAATCAAAAAGACATATACTTAGCAAATGCTGTGAGAACCAGCGTTCAGAAAGTTTACATTCTCCATTGGCAGAGCTGCTGAGAATTACAGGACCATCTGAAACATGGCAAATTAAACTACACAGATGTGGCAAAACTTGTGTTCTCAATAAAAGTTTCTCACAATAGTAAGGTGACTTTCACTTTAAAAATACTTACCCATGGATGCTGGTGGCTGGTATATTTTCTTGACAAAGAAAGCATGCAATGAAGTCTGCTTTTTTCTTTGTGTCCACAAACACCATGGTTCGCTCATTACCTATATTGAACAGAAGTTCAGAGCCACTGCAGTTCGAAACATGATGCATTTCACTATTTAGAGTTGCACTTACTTATATAAACATCTAATATATACACACATACTGTAATTTCTTGACTGTGTTGAACTAACTAAACTCAACTGATCAATTTCTAGATCAATACAGAAATCTGTGAAGACACATGCATTCTATTTTTCTCCTCAATAAAAGGAAGAAATTAATGTTGCTCTCTGAGAAGCAAGCACTCCCTTGCTACAGCAAGGCAGACAGACTACATTTTAATTCCAATCTCAGTTCCAGTTTTCAGCATTAAAATGTAAGATAAATTCAGAACAAAAATTAAAAAATCCCAGCCACTAACAAAATAGAGGCCCAAACATTCATATAGCAATTTTAATACACCTATAATCTTGAGATAATACCCCCAGATACTAAAGAATTATAATTGACCATATAAAGAAAAAACCATCTAGGTAGCTTGTCTTCTAGTATTAAAAAAAAGATGAGACATTGACAAATACTGTGTATTTGATTAGATTCAATGACCTTTAGAGGTCCCTTCTAATCAAAACTATTCTATGAATCTATGAAATATCTGTAACACAATATGCCTTGGAAATCTCGAAGTTCCACTTCAAGCTTCATCAGCAGTCTTGTAAAGCATGTCACACAACAAAAATCACAGAATCATGACCTTTTAAACAAAGTTTAAAACCAAGCAATTTTTCTTCCCTGGTAAACAATTAACAACATGGAAAATTACCTATGCTGCGTAGAATTTCCATCAGTTTATCTCTCTTGAGATACTGAGAAACCTGAAGAACATTTTGCTGAACATCACTGCATGCTCCACCCACATGTCCAACAACAACAAATAAAAAATCAGTTTTCAAAAATTCAGCAGCCAGCCTTAAAAAGAGATAAAATTAAGCAACATGAAGTCTATTGTGTAGATTATTTTTGCTTTAATATCAAGTACTTTCATTTAAATTAAGCAACCCTTACAACAAATATTTTTATTCTGTCTTGTGAAGAATAACACAAGCAGTCATATGCGCATCTTTTTAAAAAGCTAGAAAAGTCTGCAGTGTTTGGGCCCAGAACCCCAACCACATCCTGGGCTGCACGAAAAGAAGTATGACCAGCAGGTCGGGGGAGGTGATTCTGACTCTGCCTTATGAAGCCCCACCTGGAGTGCTGTGTACAGCTCTGGGGTCTTCAGGACAAGACAGACATGGATCTGTTAGAGCAGGTGCAGGGGAGGCCCCAAAAATGATTAGAGAACTGGAGCATCTCTCCTGTGAAGCAAGTTTGAGAGAGTTGAGGAGCTGGAGTTGTTCAGCCTAGAGAAAAGAAGGCTCTGGGGAGATCTTACTGCAGCCTTCTACTACCTAAAAAGGGCTTATAAAAGTAGGGAAAGAAACCTTTCACACGAGCCAATAGGACAGGACGAGTACAGGCTGGACAGAAAAACGGATCAAGACCGGCCCTAAGGAGAAAGACTTAGGGTTGCTGGTGGATGAGAAGCTGGATGTGACCCAGCAATGTGCACTTGCTGCAGCCCAGAAACATAAGGAGTATTCTTAACTCTTCAGATATTTAGTTCTATACAAGCACATCTTTAGATGTATTTCTATTTTTACTTTACTCACCTCTGAACTTCTTCAGGGAACGTGGCACTAAACATTAGTGTCTGGCGTTTGTCTTTTTGTGGCATGTCTGGGAAATGAATCAGCTTCTTCATCTCTGAGCTAAAACCCATATCAAGCATGCGGTCTGCTTCATCTAGCACCAAATATTTCACATTATGCAAACTGATCTGCAAATATTTCAGTCAAAGAAAAACAGTATTGGTTCACTTACAGAACATACTTACAAAATTTCCTCACTGGCAAAATCCACCTTTTACTTATTTCTTTCAAGTAGAAGTTACTAAAAAATGAAAGTTAATTATTCACAAATCAAAGTATTTTTATTTGCATCTCAACCTCAATTTTTTAATTTGCCCTAATTCTAGTAGTATGCACACAATGAAGTGCTTCAGAACTTGATTTAGCAATATAAATTGAGATAGAACCTGAAGATCAACTTCAAGCATATCTTACATAAGTTACTTTTACTTCAAGCATAACTTTACAAATTACTCAAGCATATCTACTCTGGAATTATGTTTTGAGTTTTAGAAAGGTTCTCTCATACAACCCATTCTCAAAAAAAACTCTTGTTCTGAAAAAATAAATTATGCCAGGAAGCATTATTAAGGACATTACAACTTTGCTGGTCCTGACCAAGACCAATCATTTTGATTAAAAGCCCAGCAACAGCAGAAAACCAATTTCCAGTTTATTATCAGGAAATGTTTTTCCAAACTTCATTTGTCCACTGCAACATCACTGAGTCACCAATCTAAGTTGCAGCAATTTGGATTTGAATTTACAACAGTGGAAAAATAAAAATTCAAATACAGTATCACACTGGAGTTTTTTGTATATTTAATAAAATCAGTATGAAAATAGTTTTAGATAAAAACCATTGTAGCAAAGCAAACAGGAAGTCAAAATCTGCTACAGAATTTTCCAAAAGAACTAAGCAAAGCTGTTCCATGTATTTAAACTATGAAATTTTATTGCCATGAATACTCCAGCCACTTTGATTTAGACTGGTATTTTCCATTTGGCTCTGGAAGGAACTGAAGAGATCTACACTCAGGATATTCTTTCAAAAACCTCATGGAACTTACATATTCTAAGAGAAGCTCACTTTTATTTCAGCACCTGTACAAAGGTAGCATACTGACTGGTTTTCAACGGTTCTATCTCTGCTTCTATCAAATTTGAAAATGAGAACCAGTATGTAAAAAATGTAAGAGTACTTAGGAACTTCACATTAAATTTTAAGATCTTACCTTTCCTCTTCCAATGATATCTAGAAGCCTTCCTGGAGTGGCACACAGTATATTACAGCCTTGCATTACCTGACGAACTGAATGGCTTATTTGTGTACCTCCATAGACTACAACAGGCCTTATACAAGTTCTGTTATGTAGAAAAAAGTTTGGATTAACTACGTAAGTATGTAAACAGTATTGTTACAGGAAAATTTGGAAAAAAAAAAAAAACAGGTCTACCACAAACAATCTTAGAGTGGTTTAATTTCTTCTCCATACAGTACAGCTTGCTCCAAAAGGACTCAAAACCCAGATATTTGCTCACTGTAACCCTGAAGTTCCCACTCCCGCTCCGTAACAGAGGCTGCCAAGATGGCTTACTTGGAATGAACAACACTAACAGCCAAAATGATGTTAGACTCGATCCTCTTTTATACACATATACACTTAATAAAAGCAGAACCACCTCTCTATATGCCTCTAGAGCTTCAAAAGTAATCTCTGCAGATCTTAAAAAGACAGTGCCAAATAAAAAAAATACACAGGTAGAACCTTTGTAAAGCAACTAATTACACTGGCCATATGGTGTGTGACACAAGGATTAGACTGCAAATCCACTTGAAGACTACAATACTCAGTGTTCTTCTTACAAAGCTTCCTGGTTAGATCCATCAAGTACAGCTACACCAGATACTCTTCTGTAGAAACCACCTCCTCAAGCAAGAACTACCTTATGCAGCTGTGAAGCAGGTCTACAAGCTCACCTTTATAACCTTTCACTAAGGTCTTTGTATGCATGCAATGAGCATTTTTATACTCAAATTCAAACTGTCTTCTCTTGAAGATACTAATTCAGCTTTATATGCAGCAACAGTGAATACAGACACAGTAAATTTTTACCAGGATTAATAAAAACCCTTCAGAAAGCTTTAGTCAAGAATATAAAGGCATTAAGGACTTCTACAATTTCAATATTTATCCACTTTTAATATATATGTGTCATATTCCTATTTGTGAATTAAACCAAAGAACTTAAGAGTATCATAAATCTGAACTGAGTAATATGCATGAAATTCTGTAGAGACAACAGATTCACATCCTGATACTGCTTGACTGCCCCCCAAATGGAGGGTATCTTGTTTTTACTGTAGGCCAGATGTAGTAGAAGTTTTCTAGACTCAAAAGCTATTTTATTGTGAAATCATGTGCATCTAGTTGAACAGAATTAGCTACAATGATGATGAACAGCTAGACTGTGTTTAGCTACAAAGTTAGAAGAGTTTCAGAGACTAAGATGCTGTTCTTAATAACGTGCTTAGTAAGTATATAGGTGAACATGATCCTACTTTTCAAAGGCAGACAGCCTCCAAGTATAAGTTTGCTTGAATAAAGCCAAGTATTGATTTACCCCACCAGATTTAGCACTGAAGATGTTCTGCATTGCACCTCCTAACAGCAATAAACTGTCATAGACAATAGATTTAATTCTATTCTGTGCACTGGTGAAACCTATTACTTAGCAGTGGAAAGATCAATGACAAAACTAATACAAATGTACTCTCATGCAACATCCCAAGGGCTCAATGACAGGTTTAGATCTTTTGTTGTTTTGAAAGCTAGAAGTTTCCATGAGCCGTGAAATGTCTGTCCAAGACCAGAAACATAGGGAAGTAAGAGTTACCAGAAACCATCACTGAAAGTCAACTAAAACCCCTAACACATACCTCTGTTTTTATTAAGATGAAAATAAAGCAAGTATAAATTACATAGGGTAAGCTCATCAGTTTCCTCATGTTGAAGAATAAATCTAGTGCAGGTAGCTCAGTGTGCAGTTGCAGTGTGAGCTGCAGATTGAGCTCTGGGTGGCTGGAAATGGCTGGAGCCCAAGCAAAAGGCCATGAACTGGGTACCAACACTTTGCTTAACAAAAGGCAGAGGGACCTGCATCATTAGCCAGGTGACCTGACACTCAAGAGACTCAGTAGGAGCCAACAACTCAGTAAAAAGACCCCAGAATGTCACATACATACACTGAGTGTATAAAGCCCAGTGATTCCTTTGTTCAGGGGTCCCTTCATGGAGACATTCAGCTTGAGCTGCTGCGTGTTGCTGCACAACAGTTAAATTACTTAAAGAAAACAGAGATCTGAGACTCTGCTGTGGGAAACTTGGGGTCAAGTCGGTGTGGAAACCCTGTCTGATTGAGTGGTGTGTGTAGGGAGTCAAGTGAGGCACCCATGGGGTCACTGGAGCCACCTGCTCTGAAGGGGCTTTGGACACAGCAGTAAAATCCCTGGTGGTGTGACTGTGACTGCCAGAGTGGCTCCTGGATGGTCAGAAAAGAAAGTTTTCTTAACACTTCATGCAAGATGTTTCATTTTTCCCATCAGTATTATGTGACAAAGTTTAGTACTTATCTCCTCTTCAAGCTGGACTAAGCCTCCTATTCACCCACCCAGTACCAGGAACACTAGGAGTTTAAATCCTAGTAAGAAACCTGCTGGTTAGTATTATAATCTAAACTCATTATAATCTGAACTCAAGTATTTGTAACAATTTGACTGGCACAAAAAATTTTACAAGTATTTATGAAAAAAAAATCACCACTGTTGATTTAGGCAAAGTAGTAATTTGTAGATTTAGGCAAAGTAATACCAGGCAACAGTGTAAGAACTTACCCATAAACAAATTTCCTTGCTTCTAGGAAGATCTGATTTACTAGTTCTCTAGTTGGCCCAGTAATAATACATTCCGGTTCTTGCTGCTCTTTAAAGCTGCTGGCAGTTACACCATCTCTCATCATTTGGGCCACAATCGGTACAAGAAAAGCTGCCTGGAAAAAAAAAAAAAACACAACAAAAAAACCCAGCAGTATTTATGCTGGTTAGCTTTCATCAGTCATGCTAAAAGCTGAGTGTATCAATCTTAAAGCTTGAATGATAGCGCACACAATCAAGGAAATAAGACTGCCGTAGGACTGACCTGAACACACTACAGAACATGGAAGCTTATTTCTCCTTATTTAAGCAATATGAAAGCATCTCTTTGGATTCCAAAGGTCTAATATAACACAGGAACACAGGCATACAGTGGCTACCTTCTCAGTTCTTCAGGCAGTTCCATACTTTGATGACATACACTGATAATTATGTACCGATGATCAAAAGAGGTCCTTAATATGTACTTACAAACTTCAGATTATTATCAGTAGGTCTGTAAAGTAACTATGTATCAACATTCTCCAGACTACTAGAATTGCAGCTCAGTTTGCAACACAGCTCTGCACTACACCAGCACACTTACTTCCATGCAAGATTAGTTAATCACAAAACTGCATCTGTACAGCAGTTCCAAGAGCGTTCAGAATATTTAGAGCATAAGCGTTGGACATTTGCCTTTCTACAGACAGATGAGATTTTTCAGAAGAAATAACTAGGTAAGCTACATAACATCAAAACCAAGTCTGGTGCAGATCAAATTTCCTCAAACCAAGTGTGACAAAGTAGCACAACACAGGGTTACAATCTGGCTAAGTTCTAAAAAACCCCCTAAAACACCCACAAAAACATTGAAAACAAAACTCACACACACAAACCAACCAGAAAAAAACCAAACCACCACCAAAAAACACTAAACAAGACAAAACTCCACACAACACCGAAAGAACTCCATACTTCCAACCACTGAGTTTTCACATCAGCAGTGTCCAGGAATGCCTGCCTATACTTCTGAATCTGTATCTGCAGCCCTGAAGGTTGGCCCTCTGTACCAAGACAGTGGGTTCACTGAAACTAAAAGGAAATTTTTAGTCACCCAGTATGTGACATCATTTGTATCTGTGCTTAATACTGCGCCTGCCATTGCTACCTAAGTGTTAAATTACTAGATTACAAGCTGTGAAGCATCTGGCACATGCAAGACTGCAATCATCCACCTGAAAGTTCATAGTCACAGCAGTATACATAATGCTTACAGTTTTTCCTGATCCTGTCTGGGCACATGCCATTAAATCCCGTCCTGCCAGTACAATAGGAATGCTGTACTTCTGCACTGGAGTAGGTTTCGAGTATCCAGCTTTAGCAATGTTCACAGTTAAAGTATGGGAGATGTTAGCATCTGCAAAACTCTGTAACAGAAAAAAAATTAGGTTATTACACAATCACAAGAAGTTAGAAAGCCAGAGAAACTTACCACATGACACGGACATCCAAAAACTAAAAGCATTAACTTTAGAGAGCCTCACCAGTCATCTAGATTGCCAAGGTTCCTGTAGGTAAAAATTCCAAAGGTCTCTCAAATCTGCTCATGCCATTCAGTAACATTGTTTATAGGACAGAAGGCTTTCAGCTGGTGTAGCAGTTGTGAGAGAAAACTGCTCAGAAGCCATACATCTGCATTCAAGCAGGTAAACTCATATCATAGTATGCTATGAAAACAAGCTGTTCAGTTTCATTTCATGTAGGAGATAGACACAGTCTCTCTGCTAAAAACAAGAAGGGGAGCTAAAGTAACATTCTTACCCAGAACCAAAAAGCACCATATATGACAAAAATCACTAACTTCAGTGAAAAAGCTTTTCAGAAGACCAGTGGTGAAAACATCTCTGTATCTTCCCTTTCAACACAGGTGCTACTAAACCCTTTGTATGTCTTTACTCCTTGTTTTCCCTGGAAAGGGTTTTTTTTCTTTTTTAAACACTGGCCACACATATGGAGAAACAGCAAAGTTGTATGCTAAACAATAAACTGCAGCCACAGAGAACAGGAATAGAAATTACTTTCAAACACTTCTCTGTCCAAATCAATACTTTTCCAACACACATTCATTTACATTATTAAAGATCCCCCACCAAAAAACTTCAGTAAGATAACTCTACCAGCCTTCCCAGCAAACGCTGCTGAAGACCTCTTTCTTTCAATATCTGTCTATTTCTCTGGAACATTTATGTAGTTTGTCAATGTTCTTGTGAATTCAAATTTGTATCTTTCAAATGGGCAGTACCTCCTTCCAAGATCGTACTGTCTGCAATACTCCAAATTTTTATTAGTATTTTCATTAGCAGCCAATACTAAACTCAGTGAATTAAAAACCCTTGCAAAATCACGCTCTGCAGTTAATCAGTTTACTAACCGTTAATGCTGCTGGAGGGTCCAGTCCTGACACTTCAACGATATTTTCATCATACTTGTCAAAATTCATTCCTGTCTCATAATGTGCAAAGATGGCTTGTTCATCATCAGGTGGAGGAGGGGGCACATACGTCACCTTTGGACCTTAAGAACACAACCATTTAAGTTAATGAACAATATCAAGCAAAGTTAAACTAAAACTATTTTAAGTACGGAGCTACTGAAGTTCAGTGAGGTGTCATTTGGATTTCCCTCCACTTTCCAGGAAGGCACAAAATTCCGTAAATTGACTCTGTCAAAACTTAATTTTATACTACTAAACCTAACACTCATAAATGAAGTCAGACTTTTGTAAAGCATTCTTGTCTCACATTTGCTCAAGGACCTTACTTTCAAGAGCTCGTCAAAAAATCCTTTATCAACCAGACACATGCTCTTAGGATCCAAGGACATATTTCCCATGCAACAAACTGCTCCTTACGAAGAACCATCTTTCCACATCAACTTCTATACAGACAGGTGCAACTGTTGCATAGCAATAAGCAAAACAGTCTTTACATTTTAACAGTTTACCCTGTGGTCATGAGAAAGGAATTACTACCCTATGTTAAGGATGCATTATCTCCACTAGGACCATTAGCATGCTGCTTCTATAAACATTTCAGTTCCTAAAAATCATTATTTGAACTAAAAATCTGAAAAACTTAGCTTGAACTAAGTCAAATAGAAGCAAATCCATTGTTCTTCGGATATTAAGGAGCACTTCTGAAATCACAGAATGGTTTGGGTTGGAAGGGATCTTAAAGATCATATAGTTCCAACCTCTCTGCCATGGGTAGGGATACCACCCACTAGACCAGGTTGCTCAAAGCCTCACTCAGCCCGGCCTTTAACACTTCCAGGAATGGGGTACCCACAACCTCTCTGGGTAACTTGTCCCAGTGCTTCACTACCCTCTGAGTAAAGAATCATTTATCTGTCCTTTTTACCATGAAAAATTCTTTCACCACTATTATACAAAATGACCTTTCATGGAGAATACCAGCCATCCACTATCCATCACACAGTTTAATGGCATTTCTAATTTAAATTATGCTACTTCTACAACTGAAAAATTACTATGCTCTACAATAGTACAACATATAGGTAACAAGGTACTGCAGCATCAGTGGCAGAGTACAGGACTGTGAGGGAAAAATCCCTTGTAGAAAACAACACAAAACAAACAAAAACCCAAAACAAAAACAAACAACAACAACAACAACAAAAAAAAAAAAAACCAACCAAAAAAACCTCAAAACAAAAACAAAAAAAAACCACCACCAAAAAAAACCCCCACCAAGATCAAAATAAAGTTTAATCAGGAGAAGCTGGCCTCTCTGAGCTACACACCCTACTTGCCAGTCTGGACAAACCTAAAATACTTCCACTTGTAGGAAGGGTAAAAAGAAGTGCAGAGTGACTGTTTCAAAACTGAGCAAATTCTTAAGGCTTACTTCCAATTTTGGGGCTAGCACCTCTGCTTCACTGTACATTACCTGAGCCAATAGGAGCAAGACCAAAAAAAAAAAAAATAGAAGACAACAGCTTTGAAAATCTAATCACTAAAATTCATACAAGTTACAAACACGTCTTTTGCAGGCATACAAAAAAGATACCTAACATTTGCAGAAGGCTCTTAATAAGGAGAATCACAATAGCAGCATTTAGCAAAGTTAGGAAGGAACTGCACTGCCAGAAATCACCAATCAGCAAATCTGAAAGGTTCACCCCCCAATACTAAAAGTCTCACCTGCACCATCTGTAAATGCCTCTTTTTCTCTAGAGCCAAGAGTTCCAGACTGAGGTATGACCCTTCGTCCATTATTATTACCTGTAAGTAATGGACAGGGTATAAAATTAGTATAATGAAACACGATTGATGTCAGTACTATTTACTCCAAGAAATCTGCAGTGCAACACACCCTTTGTTAACTTCAGCCTATGATGTATTATTTCCAGTAATGCCATTTTGTAAAGACATCATCTATGTCCCACAATACAGCTGAAGAACAGAAAACATTTCATAGCTTTCACCCCTGTACTAGTAGTTCTCAGGGAGCAAACCCAGAAAGAATGGCCAATGTATGTTGTTCCCATATAAACCAGTCAATACAAAAAACTTACTCTCACCTTGTCCAAAGCCACCACGCATTCCTTTGGATCCTCTATTTCGTGTACTAAAATCTTCCACAACGTTTCTTTCTTGCAAACCTGCAGTGCAGCATAGAACATAATAACTTACTTTGCCTAATTTCACATGTGCAGATGAAGCATCTTTTATCTGGAAATTTTTCTTCTAATTCCTTATTAATTCCCATTAAAAGAACAATATAACTGATTCAGCTAAATATATGAAAAAAAAGAAGACTAAATACTTTGTTGCCAAAAAGTATTCAGCTGGTCTATCATACTGTAATGACAAGGAGAATCTGCTGTTACATGACATCAAGAAGTTCTCCTACCACAGCATTTGTGGCTCCTTCTTCACCAAGGCTTGGTGAATACCAATTTATTCATCCTTTGAGTTTTTCCAAATCAATTAAAGAAATAAAAACCAAACTCACATCTTAAAGGCTCACTGCAAAAACAGTCTAGATGTAAGTATCCACAAATACTACAGGCCCTGCATACAGCTTGTGAGTCACTTCACAATTCTTGGAGAGGCTACAGCAGAACTTCTCATTTTCATTCCCCTGCACAAAACGCTGCCATGTGCGTAGTCAAACAAACCTAGCATTTCCCTACCACAGTGGGCATCAATCCAGAAGATGCAGAAATGGTCAAGAATTTTTTGAAACTGTGCTGGTTTTGTAAAATAGTAACTTGGTTTTTTAAAGGATGCATTGTTAAGGATGCAGTTACAACCACTAGAAGAATTAGTATGCTGCCTCTATAAACACTTCCTAAAAATCATTATTTGAATTAAAAATCTGAAAAACTTAGCTTGAACTAACTCATATAGGGGCAAATCAATTGTTCCTCAAATATTAAGGAGCACTTCTGAAAATGCATTCTAATCATTGAATGTTTTAGGTTGGAAGGAACCTGAAAGATCACCTAGTTACAATCCCCCTGACACAGGCAGGGATGCTGTCCATTAGATTAGGTTGCTCAAAGACCCATTCAAGCTAACAAGGCACAGCACTGCCACAAATTGCCACTAAGCAAATCTGAAAGGTTCACCCCTTCACATTAAAAAGTCTTACCTGCACCATCTGTAAACACTCCTTTTTCTGTAGAGCCAAGAATTCCAGACTGAGATATGTTCCTCTGCCCATCTAGACATTGTAGTGGATACAGAATACAAAGTTAGTATAAGGAAATACTACAGTTAAAGCTAGTAATATTTACCCCAAGAAATCTGCAGTGCAACAGTCCCAACAGATTCTTTGTTAACCCCAACCTATGCTGTATTATACTTAAGGTGATACTTTTTCCTAAAGACCCCATTCCTGTTCCACAACACAGCCACACATTTGAAGACCAGAAGCCATTTTGTAGCTTTCACCCTAGTACTCGCAATTCTCAGGTGTCATCAGTCTTATAGCCCAAGGGGGTTATAGACTGGTTTCAGTTAGAAGTCGCTAGAAGTTTCGCTGCCCTATAAAAAAAGCCGATGATAGCCAACTCCAGGAGGAACTTCCTTGGTGCTGGCCAAAGCTGAGCCAATGAAAAGGCGCTTTTGTAATAATATATTTAAGAGCAGAGGAAGAGAAGGTTGTTGAACAGAAGAAATTCCAGCCTGGAGAAGAGAGGAGGAGAACATGGGATAACAAGCAGACTCCAAGGTCAGAGCAGCAGGGGTGAGAGAAGAGGCCCGGGGGGCCTCCCTCTCTCCCTCCAGCAGGGGAAAGACTGAGAACTGAGACCCCTGCCACTGGTGGAAGATCATTGGGGTTCGGAGATTTTGCCCCCCTGCAGCTCATGGAAGAGCACAACGCTGAAACTGGTGAAAGGACACAGCAAAGTCCTGCAGGAGATGTGTAGCCCGTGGAGAGGAAAATGCAGAAATACGTTTTCCCAGGTAGGACTTGTCCAAAATGACCCATGGAGCAGCAGATTGAAGAGAACTGTTACCCAAGGGGTGGATGGACCCACAGGGAGAAGTCCATCGAAGACTGTTTCCCGTGGGGAGGGACCCCACAGAAGCAGGGGAAGGACTCAGAGCCATGACCCCCTATATCTGTGGTGAAGACAATGATGACACAGGTTGTCCCCCTGCAGCCCACAGAAAACCATTGGGGCACAAAGATCCCCCCTGCACCTGATGGAGGAGTAACCCACAGGACAGCAGACTGGCAAGAACTGCAGTCGGAAGGGTGGACTCAAACTGATTACAAAACCCCTTCCTGTTTCCCTGCACTGCTTGGGGGGGAAGAAGGAGAACTTAGAAGAAAACAGGGGAGGGGGAAGAAGCTGTTTGTTTAAGATTGTTTTATTTCTCACTCTCTTAATTTTTATCTTGGTAGTAATAAATTTAAGTTTTATTCCCTATGCTGAGTCTGTTTTGCCCTTATCTACACTCATGAATTCCTTACTGTTTTTTTTTCCTCTCCTCTGCTACTCTGCAGAGGCAAGGTAAGAAAGCGGCTTGGATATCCTGTCACCCAGTTAGGGTCAAACCGCCACATCAGGGAGTAAGCAAACCCAGAAAGAACGGCCAAATGTATGCTGTTCCTGTACAAACCAGTTAATATAAAAAAACCCCAAAGACTTACTCTCATGTCGTCCAAAGTCACCATGAAATCCTTTAAACCCTTTATTTTTTGTATTTGTACTAGAACCTTCTACAGCATTTCTTCCTTGAAAACCTGCAGTACAGCACAGCACACAATAAATTAGTTTGCCCAATTCTGCATGTGCAGATCAAGTGCCTTTTACCTGGATGAAGAACAGAAGCCATTTCACAGCACTCACCCTTGTACTGGTAGTTCTCAGGGAGCAAGCAAACCCAGAAAGAATGGTAATACATATGCTGTTCCCCTATAAATTAGTTGATACAAAAAACTTACTCTTACCTCGTCCAAAGCCACCACGGAATCCTTTAGACCCTCTATTTTGTGTACTAGCATCTTCTATGTTTCTTTCTTGAACACCTGCAGTGCAGTATAGAACACAGTCATTTAGTTTCCCTAGTATCACATGTGCAAGTCCACCATCTTTTAATTCTTTTCATTCCTTGTTTCATAAATCCACAAAAAAAGTGTAACGTAACTCAGTCATTTGCCTAAACACATGAAACAATGAAGACAAAAAGTACTTTTTGCCAGAAAGTCTGACAAGAACAGTACTGCTCTCCTGTAAGATTTCAAGACATAAATCAGATGTAAGTATTTCACCTTACATGCATATGCCACTAACATTCAATTCTTCAGTTTTGATGCAGATGCAAATCAAAAAAGGGCAACAAGACCAGTGAAGTATCTGGAGCACAAGTCCTATGAGGAGAGGCTGAGGGAGCTGGAGTTGTTCAGTCTGAAGAAGAGAAGGCTCAGGGGTGACCTCATCACTCTCTACAACTACCTGAAAGGAAGTTGCAGCCAGGTGGGCCTCAGTCTCTTCTCCCAGGCAACTAGCAATAGGACAAGAGGGCACAGCCTTAAGCTGTGCCAGGAGAGGTTTAGGTTAGACATTAGGAAGAAGTTCTTTACAGAGAGAGTGACTGGGCACTGGAATGGGCTGCCCAGGGAGGTGGTAAAGTCACCGTCCCTGAAGGTGTTTAGAGAAAGACTGGATGTGGCACTGAGTGCCATGGTCTAGTAGACGAGGTGGTGCTGGTTCAAAGGTAGGACTTCATCATCTCAGGGGTCTTTTTCCAACCTAGCTGATTCTGTGATTCTGTCACTCAGACCTCTGGTTCAGTCAGAAGGCAACTGACAGCATTTGCACCTTCTCAGTTCTCACAACTAGTACCTGCAGAGTTAGGATTTGAAAGTGCACCTTTCAGATCTACCAACTTCCATTTTTTTTTTGTTTAATGACTCAGAATTGCTTACTCAGTCAGCAGTGACAAGTATTTAGTGTATTTTTATTTCTAATCCCTTTCCTTAATCACTCTCCTGATGAGGAGGAAAGTAAAGAGTTATATGCACAAATAAGGTATTTATCATTTTATGCTGGACAGTTTTAGGTGTTGTCCAAGGTCCAAGGAGTCAGCTTAGACTAGAATTTTCTCCTTAGTCCTTATTCTTCAACTGAGCAAGCAGTTGTGTGGGGGCTTAGATGCCAGCTCGCTTTAAATCACTGCAATAAACACTGAGTGGCTCCACAGCTGTTCTGCAGTCAGAACTTTTGATAAACCAGCCCAGACCAGGACTAGAATTTCAATCTTTCTTGTTTTATAACCAGTCCTATGGCACAGAATTAGCCAGCAGCTCCCACTGCCTCTGTATATTGTACGTACCAGGTGAAAGCACATGCAGTACTACTGCCAAGCTGCCTCCTCAAGGTGCACTGCATACAGGTGTGGCACTCACCACTGTAAGCAGTATGAGGACAGGGACTGAATATTGCTTTATGGATACTAAAGAAAGGAAGCTTTCAGGTCTTTCAAGGAAGTGCACTGATATAGTCCCTCACACAGTATACATATGAGTACTAATACTCAGCTTGACTTTTATACCGTATTACAACAAAACTATCAGAAAAATACCCCTCCCCAGGCAAAACAATCAAAGCAAGAGGTAAACAAAACAACAATTTTAGATACTGAGTCCTGGGAAATGCAGTGTGGTACCCTGTGTTGTGCAGTCAAAACCAAGGGGTGACACTGAGTGCCTACATTATGCAAAAATAAGGACCTGAATTACTCTCTAAGTCACAAATACTCATTTGGCTCTGATACAACAAAACTGAGCACCTTAATAATCAAAACTTAATATATAATATAGGACTAGCCATTAGAATTACAGCCATTAGAGGAAGTTACCTTTGGCTGCAAAATTCCTTCCTTTACCAAAACTACTCATTGGTTGGCATTGTCTGTTCAAAAATTCATCAGTACCTAGAATTAGAAAAAATAACTGAGTTAACATTCATAGCTATCTTTGACTCAGTAGAAGTTATATATTGTATTGTAAACAAATGAATAAAGTAAAATAGTAAAAAAAGTAAATAAGTAAATAAATGAAGGTTGAAAGTCAAAAAAAAGCATATTCATTATGTTCTCTCTATAATTTGATGCTGCTACTCCATAAGGGACACATTAAATATCACAATGATAATACTGTATTTTCCTTTAATCTTGTAAACTGCTCAAGAGATCAACTCCCCCAAATGCCAGCCAGAAGTGCCTTTCACCTACCGAATGAGCCTACACTTGGACTGAATCCAGAAGAGAGGTCATTTGGTCTTTCAAACAAGCTAACCTACAAAAAAAAAAAAAAAGACACAATATCATGATAACTTCAGGCCAAGCAAACATAGATAAACACAGATACAGTTGCTATGTCTTCCCCTTAAAACGTTGCCTTCTGCACCTCCTGAAATGCAGACTGTCACACTCCTCTGCTCGCTTCAGTTTATTACATTTCAGTACTCTAAACGGCATACTGTTTGCATCTGATTGTTACCAGAAATCACATCATATACAGATAAGATGTCAAGCTCATGAAGTATACAACAAGCACTAGAGTACATGAACAAAACAGCAGCAAGCAAACTGCTGGCGTAGAGGAAACCTCTTCAGTTGCAGCAAACTCCTATGGCTGCTTACTATATTTGCAAAAATATACTGTAAAGTATATTCAAAGTCCTACGTACAGTCCTTTACACAGGTACACTGCTCACCCTTTCTACATCAGCTCTGCATTTAAGATCATGAAATTTGGGAACAACATGAGGCACTGTATTAACTGAAAAACAGAGAACAGTCACTCATGTTCTACTCGTTGCTGTGGTAAAACGAAATCGCAATTCTGTGACTGCTAGCAGGAAGAGACAGCAAACAGAACAGCTAAAAGGACAGCTTCGAGAGAGAAGTTACAGTTCACGTCTAATCCACACCTTCATCGACAGATATGGTTCTGCAAGCCTCCAATAATGCAGTTCCAACGCTGCCCTTTCAATGCCCTTTCACTGTTCAATAGCCAGCAATAACAACCATCAAACCAATCTGATTTGTGCAAGAAATTGTGGCCTACTAATACCCAAAAGCCAGCAATCTGTTCTCAGCTTATGTTACATGAAAAACACTATACCACGTATACACAAAAGAAGAATACATTAGAAGGCAAAAAGGACATGCAGTGTGAACCACCAGCCTCCTTCAGCACTTAGAAAACTGCAGTGGAATACTCCTAATCAACACTGATCTGCGGTTTTAAGTTTCTACCCTGCCTAAGTTCGTTCTACTTCTTTTCCAGCTTATCCTGATCCACTAGCCTATCCACATAGGTACTCAGTTCCTAGGTCACACAAGGTAATTAATGAGTTATTAGTATATGCCGATATTATGAGGACATTTTATTTCCAAAAAGTATGCATCCTTTCACAATCCAATGTAAAGGGGCAGCATCGAGCATCTGGAAGAGTAACAATAATCACTCACACCAACCACGTCCCAGGAGCTTCCAGGGAGGCAAGGCACCTCAACATTTTCAGAGACTGAAACTCCTACTCTTTGTTAAGAAAACACTGTCTTTCCAGCACCAAGTTAAGGGCAAGTTCCTCAGGAGCTTCAGAAATCACAGGAACAGGGGACACCACAGCCCACGAGCCACGCAGGCTGCACGGACAGGGGTTGGAAGAAAGGAAAAGAAGTAAATACACTACAGCTTAATTGCCGCCCCTCCCCCCCACCATACCTTCTCAAGGGATGGGAGCAACGCCTCGTCCCCTAACTCCGCATTCCAGTCCTCTTCAATCATGCTTTGCCCTGCCAGACCTGCTTACAGGAGACAGAACACATCAGCAGCCGCCTCCCGCCCGACTCCGGAGGGTCCGACAAGGACAGAAAATGGCGCCCGGCACCGAACCTCGCAGATTCTGCCCGCGGACGGGAGTGAGGGCGGCCCAGCCCGGCCTCTGCGCCGATGGAGATGGGAGAGAGGGGGGTCCTGCCGGGGAAAAGCCTCCCGCTTCCATAAGAGCGGCACCGAACCCCAATCCTACCACCGTCCCTCGGCCACCGGAGCTCCAAAAGGAGAGAAGATGGCGCCGCGCACCGACACCCTAGTAAGGCCACCGCACACGTGCAGCCGGCAGGGCACGTGACCCACGTGACCCGCGACCAACCAATGGGCGCGCGGCTCGGCGGCAGGGCGCGCGGGCGTGACGGCGGCCCCGCCCAGCTCCCGCAGCGTTCCCGGATTCCCTCACGGAGAGCTGTTCCCGGATTCCCTCACGGAGAGCTGTTCCCGCGGGGCTTGTGTGGGGAACCTCTGATGACAGTGAAATCCACAGTCTGGCCGAACCCCAACTAAGACATTAATCATTTTACTGCTTACAAACACTTTTTCAAGCGTTAGCATAATAACTAACAGCACATACACCTTTCCTGAAATTTTGTTTTAAAAAGCATTAAATTAGGTTAAACAGTTTATGTGTTTAGAAAAACAAACCAAAATGAAATAAACCCCCAAACTTAAGCACAACACCCCTTTCCCACGGTTTTTTGTAATACCAGAGTTGATAGAGAAAAGAAAAAAAGATAAATTCCTGGCTTAGAAGGTGTTGCTGGAGTGCAGGAGAACACCGATGGACTCACATCAGTTCAATACATCTATTAAAATGGTGGCAAGTACTCTGACATTTCTGCTTGCGTTTCTGAGCTGCTAGTGCAGTGTGTGTCTTCTCTGTACCTCTCTTCATGCTGTGGAATAATCCAGCAATGCTTGTTCAGAAAAACATACAGGAAGTATATGCCATTTCATAAACCTGATAATACTCATGAAGTTGCAGAGAAGTCACACCAGACACGGAATTCTGAACGTCTAGTAGGAGCTTTGCATACTAAGTCAAATTCCTGCAGCAGTTGGAGAATTTTGGAAAGTGGTCTCTGAACTAATGCTTTGGCTATTTTCCCCTTAACCATTGTCAGTTAAGCCCTGTCCTTTCTAGCTGCTCATTTTTCAGGAGCATCAAGACAAGATAAGGCAGTTAAGAAACTTAAGCAGCTTCTCTGTTCCACAGTGAGGTTAAAACTGCACGACTAGGTGATATATATCATGCTGTGCTTCATGCAAGTAGTAAAGATGGCTGCTGGCAGTTATTAGTTTACCATAAGTATTCAGCAAAACACACAATGTCCAAGGATGAAGAATTTGCGGTGGGAGCATCTCTTAGGAAAGTGTATAAAACTATTCACAAGTTCCTGAAGCAGCACATGAAATGAGCAGGCTCATGAGTTAAATTTCACCCACTGTGCAAACTCCTTAACATACCATCTTTTTGTCTAAACGAGGAAACAGAGTAGGCTGCTTTGTGAGACAAAATGGCTACTATTTTCATTGCACTGAAGCTCTGTTTTGGACCACCCTAATGGAAAAAAAGAAGTGTGTCTGTTCTCCCGAGAAATTTATGGCTAATGGCAGATGTGCTACTCTGGAACGTCTAAACCAAACTGAAAGCTTTCAGCTTGTTCATCCTCCTTTCCATCAACAGATTACTGTTCCCTCAGCTTTTCTAGTAACTTCATGTTCTGCTCTCCCTTTTTCACTCAAGGAGATATATTTAAGGTTAATAAGTTTAATGGGATACATGAGGAACAACTATGAATGCAGTCAGATAGAGGATCTGTAATCAATAGCAGGAGATCTCAGATAATTTTAGATACAATCAGATGTCATGTGATAATAGATGGAGAGTTATTTTCTTTCCTTATTCCTTTGATCCTGCTCATTGTAGGATACTATGTACTCCCTCCTCCAAATTACTTTCCATTACACCAGGAGAAGGCAAATGATGAAATTTGAGAATGGCAAGAACTTGCATGATAATTGTAACGAATTTGTTCAATTAGTTGAACAAATCAATGTCCAATCCTTGGAGGATTCTTTGGGAAGTTAAAACTTTTTTTTACCCCCTCTAAGGCTGCTAACAGCACAAATCGTTTAGGGACTACTCTTCAGGTCATTTTACCCAAGGAGCCCCACTCAGAGTCACCTAGAGGGAAAGCAGAACAAAGAATCCAAGATATTTAAACAGTATCTTATATAGTGCATTCAAATGTAATATGGAGTCTCAGACAACCAGAAAAACCTAAGAATTAATTGCAAATGTGAGTGCAGTCCCTCAAAGTGAAGAAGAAACCAGCAATCTAAACATCATATTCCTCCCAGAGGTGAGCTCTGGATGCTGATAATCTGCTGTAAAGTCCCCTCCTCTCACTACCACCCAAGAATGAAACCACTAACCTCAGGACCCAGAGTGGCTGCAGAAGAGTGAGGGTGAGCTTAGCAGTAGGAAAAGGGGTAGAAAGTAAGCGTGTGCATATACACCATTATTCTTTCTTTTTTGTGTAGCAATTAGTGCTGGACTAAAAATAATTAGACACTTGGGATTTCAGTTACATTTTCAACAAATTCTTGACTTTAGTTTTATATAAGGTGTGCTTTCTCTTTGTCTACAAACAAGATTTTAAGTGTAATGCAGTTTCTACGTCCTAAAATCTATCCTGATGTATTATCAGTATCTTTTTCTGAAAGGAATTGGGAGTTATATCTAACAAAATGCAAATCCACTAAGTTTGTTAGCCATGCCCTTGTTTGCAACAGCAGTGAAAGTTATTGATTCATGTAGTATAATGTTCTATAATGCTTAAGTTTTATAAAATTGTGCATGTTATTATTATTTCATATGTGCAAGTACAGACTGAAGTATACCTCAAGGCAATAAAAGGAAGATTCAGTGCAGTGTGAGGTGGAAATTTCCTAAAGAGCTGAATTTAATACTCCCTTTGTCTTACAGATTTGCCAAGAGCTTAAACATTAATTTTAATTAATTAATTAATTTTGGTTTCTGTTTTTATAGACACTGTACTGTCCAGGCAAGTAGGAAGAGATGCTCTTTGCCCAAAAGAGAATGTGTCATCAGAATAGAAAGCCACAACATAAACACTGCAGGACAGAGAGTGAACACCCTTCTGTGAAGTCAGCTGTGGCAGCAGTTTTCATGAGGAAGCAGAAGGAATCTCTACACTTCTGCTTGGCTCACTTACAGTTCTTACAATAAAACATTTTTCCTAGGCATAATCCTGAGGATTGTAGTGGATGATCAAGAATGCTATTAAATACAGAAGTGCAATTAAATCATCTATCTGTTATAGTAGTAACTATGGACAGCTTTCATGTCTTTCAAGACAACCTTGCAAGAGTAAGACTAGATGCTTGCATGCTGAAAAAACCAGTTATTCACGCAACTCTACTTTTATGGCTTTCAGTTTAATTCACTTTCACAGCACCAACACAAGGTTGCATTTCAAATTCCTGCGATAGCAGCTGGATAGACTTGACTCATCAACTAAAATCTTCTAGTGGCCAAGTACCACAGTGTACACTTGGATTCTAAGAGTGGCTCAGAGGCAATAGATGATGGCAAATTTGCTGAGATACATAGAAATGAGAGTTTTGGTCCAACCAACCTTCTGTGCAGCTGGATTTCAGGATGTTAAGTCTCTGCTGCCTTGTTTCCATCCACAGCCTGAAATTCAATTACACAGCAGTTTTCTTGCAGAACAGTTGGGCAGTCCTCCTGCTAGTCACACAATCTGGCTTGGGCTTCACTTGAACAGGAAGTACAGGGTGGGATTTATGTGTAGCTTGTTTTGCACTGTTCTCACATGGGAAAGCTATCTCTGCTGTCTTCCTTGCAATTCAGCAGTTTTTCCAAGCATGAGCTATAAATATCCCTGGAGTTTGATGTTAACCAGTGTTTCGACTATGAAAAGAATGATCCCAACTTGATTTAAGTAGTACCAAATTTAAATTAAAAAAAAACAAACAAAAACCGAAACCAACGAACCAAAACCAAATAAAAGTACCCCAAAAACCCAACCCCAAACAAAAAAACTAAAAGAAAAAAAATCCAGACAAAACCCCAAACCCATGAAACAGGCAAACAAACAAGCAAACAAAAAAAAAACCAACTTCGGATTAAGAGTAGTTAATTTTTTTAATGTATTGTATGGCAGATTGTCTGTGTTGTTTAGTTTGCTTGGTTCCATTGCTCAGCGTTTCATCCCTCCCTAAGCAAGGTCAGGAGGTCCAATTCACATCATTTCTCACAGAAGGCACGTAGCCAGTCACGTGAAGACCATGGTTTGTTTTGGGTATGGTTTGTTTTGGGCAAGCGTTATGCATACATTTTGTCACCACGCTGGACTGCAAACTATGGAAGAAAATGGGTGAGCTTCCTTTTTTGTTTTGGTTGGTTGGTTCTTTGATTTGCTTTGTTTTCTAATAGTGGCCTCTCATGAGCCGTCACCAGCAAGTGCGAACCTTTTCCTCCCAGCGCTCGGTTCACGCTCATCCGTACCACAACCTCACGGAGGAGCCTGGGCAGACAGACAGTGCCGGCCGCTCCCGCCCCGCGGCTCCCTGGGAGCCGTAGTCCTTGCGCTCGGCAGCGGCCGGCCGGCTTCCTCGGCGCAGCCGCCGCGGGAACTACGCGGCCCGGCACTCCCGGGGCCGCCCGCCCGCCCCGCCGTGCTTCCTGTCGCCGCCGCGGGACCGCGGGGCCGCCGGAGCGCAGCAGGTACGGGAGCCGCGGCAGCGCCCAGGGCACGGCAGGGCAGGGCGGCTCGGCGGGAGCCGCCGTGGGGGTCTCGGGGCGTGGAGCGCCTCCAGAACGTGGTGCGGCGGTGCCGCCGCCTCCCCCGCGCTCCCGCAGCCCCCGCCGGGCTCAGCTCGCGGAGGAGCGGGCGGGCTCC